CATCAGTTGAATAGCAAACCTTCCCATCTTATCAATGAAGGCCACTGTAAACCAATAGCCAGGAACAGTGCTGCAAAGAGCAATAAGTGTTTGTGCTCTTGCAATTCTGTAAACTTCCTCCAGGGCGTTCATTGTCTTTGCAGGAGGAATCCACCCGATTGCGCTAAAGATATCCTTCTGAAAAAGATTTTGGCTGTAGAATGCAATGTCAAGCAAGAACCATGTAGTTGTTGTTCCAAGCAAGTGAAGACCATGTCGACGAACAAACTCTCTAGAGAACAAAGCATAAGCATTGCTCCTGTTCTGAGCTATCTGCTCAACCTTCTGCTCTTCTGACTCAATGTCCACCTGCAAAACCTTTGACATATCAGAGGCAGCCTGCTTTGCATTCTTGGCTACAAGGGCCGTGTACCGAGCAGTTTCAGGCATCGTCATTCTCCAGTAGTAAGTGAGTGCAGCTGGGAGTGCACCAACCATCAGAATTATACGCCAAACAAAGTCTGCTTGTGGGACAGTTGAGCCAGTTGGATCAACCTCGTATGCCGGAGCGTCAAAGGCTGCCTTGAATGCAGAAGCAACTATGATTGCAAATATACCACCTCCCAGAATTCCGAATCCTTGCATCGCAAACACAGCAGCTATAAAGGCACCACGAGTCTTCTTGTTAGCATACTCAGACATGATAGTGGCAGAAAGTGGATAGTCACCACCAATTCCAAAACCAAGCCAGAAGCGAAAGAAGCAAAGGGTTGCAATCACAGATTTAGGCTCATGTCCAAACGAAAGACCTGAACCAACCGAGCATATGACCATGAGCATAAGGGTCATCCCATACACTTTCTTCCTCCCTAGTTTGTCACCAAGCCAACCAAAAAATAGCTGGCCTGCTAAAGTTCCACAGAACGCCACACCATTAACAGCAGCCGATACATTAGGAGGCAATGATCCAGGCTTTGGGGAACCATCAACGTGGTAATAGATACGGCCTAGCAATTTGGTCACAAGGGATATGCAGAAAAGATCATAGGCATCAGTGAAGAATCCCATTCCAGCAATTATGATTGCAGTGAAATGGTACCATTGTGTTTTGGCTACATCAAGTGCATTGAGCACCTGTAATTGATCTCTGGCCATGGCTAACCAGAATACTGATCAGAACAAGTCTCTTCTCCCCTTTCTGTCTGCAAAGAGTAGACAAGAAAATGTGTTATAACCAAGTTATGCGGATAGCAGTACATACAATTGTTAGAGATTATAATAAGTTCCCTCAGTTGACTTTTATAACCCAATTGAGTTCTCTCTTTCTGGTCCCTACTGAACTGATATGTTGACCTTTTGATCATCAATACATAAAAAGCAATCTAAAATACAGTTCATATTTCATAACATTATTTAAATACAATCCCGAAAAAAAAAAAAAAAAAAAAGGTCTAAAGGCACATTCAAGTCTTAGAGAGGGGCAAAACGCCCATAAGTGTAGGAATAAAGAATAAACGACAAAGGAGCATTCTTTGGAGTTTATCCAAGAGTTGACACAAAAGATATTTTAACGTTAAAGCATTAAATTGTTTGGATAAGTATATATATATATATATAATATATGTATTAAAAATCGTATCATCTACTTGCTAACTTTGAGGATCTGCAAACTGGGTATGCATTTTTTTACTCAATATGAACGGAAACATGGTGCTAATTAAGATTGTAATAATGAATAGAAAACATGGCGTGAATTATCTTTTGTTTCCAAAAAAAAAAAAAAAATGTTTTCAAAATTATGTGTGAATAGCTTGTAAAATAAGAATTGGATCAAAACCATTTTCTATAATTAAATTTTTTGTAGCTTCTGATTAAGAAAAGGAAAAACCTCTGTAAATTTTTCTATATGAATATACCCTCCATCTTTAAAAGTTGAAATTATTGACTGTTGAAAAAAAAAAAAAAGATCAGAATACATCGGATATAATATACCCATTACGTTGCATCGTG